CGAGCCACCCCCTCTCCAGTCTGCTCAGGTGGGTACGCGCCGGGACCGGGCCGCCCGTCTGGAGACCCCCCTCTCTCCTGCCCGTCTCCTAGTCCCCAGAGAGGTCGGGGCTCCTGCGACCTGGGCGGGGTGGGTTGCTGGTTGCGCGAGGCGAGGGCTGGCGGCCCACCTGGCAGGGAGCCGGAGGGGGTGCAGGTCCGGGTCCCCGCGGCGCCGGGCTCTCCTCCTTTCGTGTCCTACCCGGCTGCGAAGAATGGTGGGAGTGCCCAGGTGGCAGCCTCCGCCGCATGGCACAGCTCGGTTTCACCTTTGCCCGCTATAGGGTGCCAGCTGTGGTATCTCACAAGCCACTTCAGAGCAAAAAATATGTGTTTTAAATCTTCCTCACCTCCTGCCGAAACTCCCACGCCTTGCAGAATCTCGCGGCTCCCCCGGCAGAAATTCTGTCGATTCCTTTCTTTTGGAACTTAGAACCCTCCTCCAGGCTCTGCAGGACCTGGCTTTTGTTTATATTAAAATTGTCTTTGGATTTGTTACGTTCAAAGTGTTCTGCTTTGAGCCCCTCTTGCGCTTGAAGCTCGAATTCAAGTTCCTTGTATTGGGCTTCATTGGATTAGTCTGTTAAGTGACATATACAGGATTCATCAGGGGTGTATTCATCAAGAAATAAAGGTTTAGAAAGAGTTGTTTAGGAAACGAAGGGGTGCTTTAAACTTTTCCAAGATCTGTTGTTAAAATAAACACTTAGGTCTAGAGCTGAAAGGATTGAAGGAAAAAGGTCACTTTTTGTGGCTTGGAAGGAGGATTGAAGGTGCTTTGTCAGTGCGAGTTAAATGTGTTGTTTCAGCAGCGCTTTCATACCCTGTTTTCTTTTCCTTCCTTGTTGTTTGAGGTTTTTAAGAAGTGGAAGTTCATTTAGAAATGGCTTCGTTAACTTTTGTTCCCCATTAGTTTATTTAACTGCAATTTGAATGTGCTTGAACAAGGTTTAATAAATCGTTAGGTTTTAAACACTGAGTACCAACCCAGGTGTATGCAGAAGGATTTTAAAAAGCAGTGTAAGAGAACTCTCCGCAGGAGCATCTGTTGGGAGGCAATACCCAGTGCTATTCACTGCTATCTCCCTAGCCCATAAAACAATGCCAGGACATAGTAAGTACTCAATATTTGGTGAATAAGTAAAAAGCATTGAGTAGAAAACCATAAATTTCTAAATAAACTGATTTGGTACTCACTGTAATTGTTAGTAGTTTGGAGAAAGGAGAGATTGCTTTCAGATGACATGGGGGTCAGGGAAGGCTTCCAGGAGGAGGAGGACTTCAGCTGGCCTTGAAGAATGAGAAGATTTGGATGGGTGAAGTACAGTGAGTGAGAGTGTTCCAGGTGGGCACACCATGGTCAGAAGTACAGAAGTGGGGAAGGAGTGGTGTTAGTGGAACACTAAACTAAGCCAAACCCACTGTTGTCGAGTCGATTCTGACTGAGAAGAATTTCCTGCCTAGAGCCTTGAGTGTGGTTGGGTGTGATAAAGGAAAATAATGGATGGATCTGAATTCAGAATGACTTAGTCTTTCTCATGTTTATATTTCCAGCACTGAGGTCAATGCCTGACAACTCACAAGTGCTCTGTAAATGTGCATTGAATGTACGAATCGGGTTTTGAGTCTTACCTGGATTACTTCGATACTTTGCGGTTCTGATGCCCTAGAGATGAGGGGAAGACTATGCAAGTTTGGAGGTGCCTCTGCCTCTAATGAATGGAATGATGTAGTACTTGGAGGTTTGCCAGAAACATCTTAACCCACAGCATATTCTGCTGAAGCGAGAAACTTTCACGTATCTCCTGCCTCCAAGTACAGATCAAGTCACTCTTAGTGCTCTCACTCAGGGACTGTTGGAATTTTGCTGAGGATTTAGCTGTCGTATAGTTCAGCAAGACTGGAAAATCTCTGTTGAGCACAATGTTTTTACTTGGGCCTCATGCTCACGTATTCCATGTTGTCTCCATTCTCCTGAGCAAAGGAGCTGACGCCTGACTTAACTCCTGTGTCTGTTGTTGAAACAGCAGAAGGCCTAAGAGGTGCCCTAACCTCTCATTCCTGTGACTCCTAGGGGCAGGGAAGATCTGCAGGCATTAGTTATACTAAGTGTGTCATTAATTATGACCACCTCAGTGGTGACTCTGGTTAAAATGAGTGAAGGATTTCTGAGCAAATGAGACCATGCATTTAAATAATCCCTAGGTCAGCACGTCCTCCGTTTTCAGGTTTAGAAATAGTAAAAGGTAGGCCCTCTGTACCCCCACTTCAAGGACCCTGAGTTATTTAAACAGCTGTGGAATCATAACATTAACAGGGCTGTGGAATCATAACTTTAGAGTTGGTCTTTGTATTAGCTGCCATCTCCCACCCCCCTAGTACTGCCAACTGCAATCCTACATGTGCCCAGCCTTTTGAGTGACTGAGTAAAACTGGCAGGAATAGGGACTTACAGCTTCCGAGGGTATAAATGTTCCAAACCACGTGTGTGTTTATGTTTACTCATCTGTTATGACCCTCCTTATTGTGCAAAGACTTTGTGCTTGTCCTTAAGCTACAAAATGCCCCCCTCTCTCCCCATCTCTTTTCTCTCATACTACTTGGGCTTAGGTTTTAATTTCTTAAAGTCCTCTCTGATGACCCTAATACACACAGATCTCTCAAGCTTCTACTTCTTTGGAATGTGTCATCTGTAGTGTACGGTAGCTCATCGACAGTACTTTACTTGCCTAGCTTTCACAGTTTATTGCTATTGAAAATACACCTGAGAATCAGAAAGTCAGCAAAGATTTCTAGTAGGAAAAAAAAGTTATATAAAGCTCATGTTCTTCCAGCCTCACTTACTTTCTGTACGTTTATTCAGAGGCAGTGTATCATTCTGTTTAAGAGCACTTGTTCTAGACTTAGACTGCCTGGATTCATACTGTATGAGTTACTCAACCACTTTGAGCTTGAATTTCTGCATCCATAAAGTGGGGGTAGTATCTGCCTTAACACGTATTCTCTTAGATAATGTGTGTAGGGAACTTTCAGCAATTCATGGCACATTGTAAGTGCTCGTTGTTAGCCATGCTCAGTTCAGTTCAGCACATACTTTTTTTTACATATATACTTTTATTGTACTTTAGATGAAGGGTTACAAAACAAGTAGTTTCTCATTAGTCAGTACACATATTGTTTTATAACATTGGTTAACAACCCCACGACATGTCAACACTGTCCCTTCTCAACCTTGGAGGACCCTTGTTTTTTTGTTTGGTGAAAATATACATAGTCAAAGTTACACCATTTCAAAAGTTTCTACATGTACAATTCAGTGACATCGATTACATTCTTCCAGTTGTGCTGCTATTCTCACTATCCTTTTCCAAATTATTCCATCACCGTTATCTTCAACTGACTGCCCCCTAGGCTTCCCATCAAACCTTTTGAGTTGCTGTTGTCAGTTTGATCTCACATAGATGATTCTTTTTTTTTTTTGGTACCTTAGATGAAAGTTTGCAGAACAAATAGTTTCTCACTAAACAGTTAGTACACATATCGTCCCACGACATGTCAACACAGTCCCTTCTCAGCCTTGGGTTTCCTATTACCAGCTTTCTTGTCCCCTCCTGCCTACTAGTCCTTGTCCCTGGACTGTTGTGCCTGATTAGTCCCATTTTGTTTTATGAGGCTGTCCAATCCCCGGCTGAACGGTGAACTTCAGGAGGGGCTTCACCACTGAGCTAAAAGGGAGTCCAGGGCCGTAGTCTCCGGGTTTCTCCAGTCTGTAAGGCCAGTAAATCTGGTCATTTTTTTTTTGTGAGTTAGAATTTTGTTCTACATCCTTTTCCAGCTCTGTCCAGGACCCTGTATTGTGATCCTGGTCAGAGCAGTCTGTGGTGCTAGCCAGGCACCATCTAGCTGTACTGGACTCAGTCTGTTGGAGGCCGTGGTAGCTGTAGTCCATTAGTTCTTGGGATGAATCTTTTCCTTGTTTCCTGTTCTCTTCATTCTGCCTTCAGCACATACATTTTTGCCATGCCGTAGCTGCTATGCGCAAAATCCCATGCTGGACACATTCTCAATGGTGTTCTTCCACACTTGGATATCTTTTTTCCAGTCCACAGCAGATTAGAAAGTAAATAAGGAAGAGGACCTGCTCAGGGAGGCACATTAATGCCATTCATTGACCAAGTGTTTACCCATCACCTACTTTGTGCCAGGCCAGTTGCTAGATGCACTGCAAAATTTGTCTCATTCCTGGCACATAGTAGGCACTCTACCAAAATTAGTCCTTCTCCTGATACATGGGTTGTTCACCCTTACAGGGTTTATAGTAGTATGATATGTCTATGTGACAGACTGACAAAATAAGAGATGGAAAATGCATTAAAAATCTAGTATATTTTATCCCAGCCCCAGTAATTTGAAACCATTAACATAGTAGCCCACACACCTGCTTAGGCCCCGAGGCATCACTGTACGTCATTATATTAAATATAACTTTTTAATAAAAGTAGGAAAGATAAATATATTTTAGATTTCTATCTAACATGATTCAAATATAATTTTTGTTATTTAAAAGGATAAACAATAGGTTGTCTAGAAAGCATAGTTATGCAGTGTCTAGTCCTCCAAAGGTTCTGGATAGCACTGATTTTACTTTATATAATACTGTCTCATTTGCTTATGGTTTAATGGATACATGCCTTCAGTCTGTAGCTGGGGACAGGCACTGTATTAAACTTCTTTTAAACTCATGGTATTTTTTAGCCCTGGGCACATAGCAGGCACTCAAGTACTCATGTAATGGAGGAGAGTTTGATATATATAGGGTTCTAATGAAACTACTGCTTTCCAGTAGAGCAACTTTTATGTGAGACTGCAGTAGGATTTGTATTAAAATTGAATTCTATCAACTAAAGGGCAAAAATATTTGAGAAAGGGAAAATGTTAAAAGAAAACATGTCATATGATAACTTAAAACTGTAAATTGAATTATCAGTAA